GATGCTATTGATGGAGAAAGTGCTACTCAGATTTCAGCCTTGCATGTCCAACTCCAGAGTAGCATCAAGAGGACGTCAGAGCTCCAGGGTCTCATCAATGACCTAACCAACGAGAGAGAAAAGCTTAAATCGGAAATAAACAAATTCCAAAAGCAGTCAATTGAGGTATTTTTGATTGTACTGACGGATCATTACCAATCATCACATCTAATGATAATAATCGCTCCTTGCATGACTTGGTATACATGCAATAAAAGTGAGCCTGATATCAGAGTAGCCGTCTATAATTTGTGATTTGCCTCTTTTAGCTTAGCACTTTTGCATGTTTTTACTTACTTACAAAATAGCTATGCATTTCATTTACCCATTCACTTATGGCACTTATGAACTTCATTCATACCATTAAACAGTTTAACACTAACATGCTGGTATGCACAAATATGTACTTTAGTTCAGACAGGTCTAACAAATGAAGGACATGTAATTTAATCTAAATTGTTTGTATTCTATATGTGGGAAAATGTCTTGCATACATGACAATATACTTTCTTATCTCTTCACAGACTTCGCTTGTGGTGCAAGAATCCCAAAGCAAATACAGTGAGCTGCTGCTGGAGAAGGATAGTTTTCTGTCCAGGATTAAACTGTTGGAGCAGGACAAGAATCGTCAGCTGCGGTTAGAAGAGGAGCTCAATCGCATCAAAGTCACACTAGAGTCCGAGCGTCGAAACAAACAACAGCTGCAGGAGGAGAAAAATTCAATTTTCAAGGAGCTAAGCACTATAAAGAGCCAGTATGAGCTGAAAAGTTCTCAGATTAGGCAGTGCGAGTCAGACAGAGATAGAGCCGATCGAGAGAGGCTTTCCCTCAAGAGCGAGATCGAGAGGCTCATGAGGGAGCTAACGAGTATTGAAGAAAGGTACAAGAGCCGTCTGTTGAGCTCAGAGAAAGAGGCAAAAGAGCTGGCTCTCAAGAAGGAGTCCCTGGAAAGAGAAATACGCAGACTGCAGCAGAGGCCCAACACTCTGAATATGCAGACCCAGACAGATGAGAAGGTCCAAACCATTGATCCTTCAAAGCTTCTGTTTGACAGCGTGCGCCGCAAAGTTACAGCCCATCAGCTTTGCGACTGTGGTATCATTAGTAAAGCTACTCTAGATGAACTCCTAAAGGGAAGACGGACAGTGAGCGAGGTAGCTGCAGACATCCAGGTTAACCTTAAGGGCAGTGGCATCATTGCTGGTATGACATCTACTTCTCAAAGGAAAATCCCGTTCACTGAAGCCAAAAACAAGAATATGCTCAGCCCAGAGAGTGCCCTTAAGCTTCTGGAAGCTCAGGCAGCAACAGGCTACATAGTGGATCCTGCATTTAATGAGAAGATGCCTGTGGATACCGCCTGTTCAAGAGGGATTGTAGACACAGAAGACAGAGATACCTTGTTGAAAGCTGAAGCTGCTAGCACAGGTTTCAAAGATCCATACTCTGGCAAAGTGTTATCTGTGGGTCAGGCTTGCAAACAAGGCCACATAGACAAAGAGACAACCATCCGCTTGCTCCAGGCTCAAGAGTCTGTTGGGGGTATACTGGATCCTGTTTTGGGTGTCTTCCTACCAAAAGATCTGGCCTTGGACCGCAATCTTATTGACGAGGACCTCTACAGGGCTCTGACTAAAAAACCAACCTGCTATCTGGATCCAACAACTGGACAGAAGACAACTTACAATGACCTTCGGATGAAGTGTACAGTGGAACCTGTTTCTGGCTTGCTTCTGATCTCTGGTCCAGAAAAACCCTTGACAGTGAAAGGTCTCCGTGGTGAAGTCTCTGTCTCGGAACTCATCGAATCTGAACTTCTGGATGAAACTGACTTGCAGAAGCTCAGTCAGGGCAAACTCACTAGCAGAGATATTGAAGACAAGCTAAAGACCTATCTCCATGGCTCTACCTGTATTGCCGGGATCTATGATGAAGCCAATGACAGAATACTACCTTTTTATCAGGCAATGAAGGAGGGTCTGCTTATGAGAGGCACCACGTTGGAGCTTCTTGAGGCCCAGGCTGCTTCTGGCTTCATAGTTGATCCAGTCAACAATGTTTTCTTGACAGTGGAAGACGCCAGCAAGAGGGGTCTGATAGGGAAGGAGTTTAAGAACAAGCTGTTGTCTGCAGAGAAGGCAGTAATAGGATACAGAGACCCAAACACAGGAAAAACTATATCCCTCTTCCAAGCTATTGAGAAAGATCTTATTGAGAAGGGTCATGGAATCCGACTGCTCGAGGCTCAGATTGCCAGTGGTGGGATTATTGACCCCAAAGAGAGCCATCGTATTGATGTTGCTGTTGCCTATAAGAGAGGATACTTTGATGAGGAGATGAATGAAATCTTATCTTATGAAGGGGATGACACAAAAGGATTCTTTGATCCTAATACCAAGGAAAACCTGACATATCTTCAGCTGAAGGAAAGGTGCATCAAAGATGAAAAAACAGGTCTATTACTGCTGCCACTAAGAGACAAGAGAAAGCCCCAGAAGCCGCAGGAAAGCCGCACAAATGTCCTACGCAAGAGGCGGGTTGTAATCGTTGATCCAGACACTGGGCTTGAAATGTCAGTGAGAGAGGCCTACCACCGTGAGCTGATTGACTATGATACTTTCCTGGACTTGTCAGAGCAGGAGTGTGAGTGGGAGGAAATAACTATAACAGGGTCAGATGGCTCTGCACGCTTGGTTATAGTAGATAGAAAAACTGGAATCCAACATGATATTCAAGACTGCCTAGAGCGTGGTGTCATTAACCAGAGCACTTTGGATAAGTATCGTGCTGGAACAATGACCTTGACCCAATTTGCTGACGAAATTGCCAGCAGAAGCAGCAGCCTTGAAATGACCATTGCAGCCAGCAATGTTGATGACATGATCACCTGCAGCAGCCCCACCCACACAACACCATCTTCCCCTACTGTCCGTAAACGCTTCAACAGTATATCTATTACAGTCTCTCCCCCTGAGATGTTTGATGACCACAGCCCTGTGGGGGCTATATTTGACACAGAGACCTTGGAGAAAATAACTGTTAGTGAAGCGCTTAGAAGAGGCATAGTTGACACTCTTACAGCACAGAGGTTGCTGGAGGCCCAGGCATGCACAGGTGGTATCATCAACCCTGCTACTGGTGAGAGACTGTCACTGCAAGATGCTGTCCATCAGAGCATCATTGATGAAAGCATGGCCAGTAAACTGAAACCTGCCCAGAAAGCTTATGTTGGCTTTGAGGATGTGAAGACTAAAAGAAGGATGTCTGCGGCAGAAGCAGTCAAGGAGACATGGCTGCCTTATGAGGCTGGCCAGAGATTTTTGGAGTTTCAGTACCTGACAGGGGGCCTGATTGAACCTGGCACTGGACGTCGCGTCAGTATTGAAGAGGCTATCCGCAGAAAATGGCTAGATGGTCAGGGGGCCCAGAAGCTTCAAGACACTCGGAACCACCAGAAGAACCTGACCTGTCCCAAGACTAAACTGAAAATATCCTACAAAGAAGCCATGGACAGCTGCATGGTGGAGGAAAGCAATGGCATGAAGATGCTGCAAGCCTCGTCTGTGTCTACCAAGGGAATCAGCAGCCCTTACAATGTCTCTAACCCAGGATCTCGCTCTGGCTCAAGGGCTGGGTCTCGTACCGGCTCGAGGAGTGGATCACGTAGAGGCAGTGTGGATTACACCTCTACTATGACCTTTACATCCACCAGCAGTACCATTTATAGTTCTAACACACACTTTTAATTCACTCCACAGAATGATAATAATTAATCACATAAGAGTAGCATGTCTTTTGCAGTTTGCTTGTTTGCTTTTTTTTTTATAACCATTTTTTTTTTAAAAAAAACAAAAAAGAAGTATTGTACTTAAAAGATTGGGGAGGTGTTTTGTTTTTGTTTTGTTTTTTATTTTTTTTAGACCTTTTTTTGTTTGCAGGTTGTAATGATAAGTTTCAATATTAGATGCTGAGTGCTATTTACACCTTTATCACAATAGATTTTTAGTAGATATGACCTTATTTCAGTTCATTTTACTACATGATGACTTTTTATAACAATATATAATAAATGCCTGTTGATTTCGTCTTTAACGTGACCTCATAATTCATGCATTATTGAAAGAACATTTGTTGTTGTTGTTAATTGGAAATCCTGAGGCTTAGCAATATATGTTTTACATTGCAATACAACATATTTTACATTGTAACTGTAGAAAATTGTTGCTACTAAAATGCTGTTGCCCGCTATCAAAATAAAGTTGTTACAGAATTTTACATGCCTTTTTGTCCTGGTTCATTTAAATTAGCTGTTGCGTGTATGAGGAGAAGCTAGCTAGACAGCATTGTTTATAAGGATGACTCTGATTGTAATGCTAAAGTTGTTCTGGGATCCCTGTTTAAATGCAACTCACTATATTACCCTTGATCTTACACAGATTGAGAGTGAAGTTTCACTCTTCAGTTGATTGATGGTGGCTTGAAATATCTGTTAATAAACTACATAAATAAATAAAAACATTGCATAAGATATCATGAAAGAGCCATGATTTACCTTCTGAAGGAGGTTGATTTGGATCACTGGAGATCCTCATAATATGTGTAATTTGAACTCGGTCTATGTTAATGTAATAAAGTGACTATTCTAAAAAAAAAAACTAAAAAAAACTAACGGTTTGAATATTCGTAATACACCTGTGAACTACTGAGGAAATAAAATGTACCTTTATGAAACATTAAAAAGTTGTTGCCTAATTTAAACTTACTTATATATTAAAGGTTTTAAACGGTAGGTTATAATTTCTTACAATTATATATTTCATTATGTCATGAATATGTATTTACTTGTACAGCAGCCATATGAAAGGTGATTATGTGGGTGTGGGATGGCAGGAAGTTAAAGTCTGTGTATGAGTAGAGAGGGTGAGAACAAACAAATGGAAGGGGGCAGAGGGAGGAGGCCAAAGCGAGGGGAGGTAGGTTGAAAGGGGAGGGAAGAAGGCAGACACCCACGGCGGAGCGGTAGGAGGACTATCCCATGCCAGGACTTGTGGCGGCTGCAGCGGTAGCCTGGACTAGAGGAAGTGTTTTGGAGGCATAGGAGAAATAGCAGCAGCAGCTTTTCCCTTTTTTTTTCAGGATACGAGCAAGATTTTATTTTATTACCAGCAGTGACAGAAAGGAGCGAAAGGAGCCCCTGGGTCCAAGCAAACTCCGAATAGCCAGAGAGCGCATTCCAGCAGAGGAAAATGAGCCTCCCAGCCCGCAGTAAGCCTGTTTGACGGCTGAGGGCTCTTTGAGACTTCGGACTTTATCATATTCCTTTTCTTTCTACAGCTTAAACTTGCTTAAAAAAGGAGGAAAGGAAGACTCACCCCGAAAAAAAACAAGTCGTTGCTTTCACTTTAAAAAGGTAAGGCATGTTACCCGAAACAGTTCGCCAGAAGAAGACAAGAGTTTTAACTGGGGCTGGTCAGCGCTTTAAAAAGCGGGATGAGACTTCCACTCTGTGGAGAACTTTTCAACAGTCACACTGCAGTGAGGTCGTCCACAGAGTAAAACAGGGCAATGCTTTGTATTTACTTTGGCTAGAAACAGGGTGTGCGTGTGTGCGCGCTCTGGTGTAAAAATTCTGAAAACAGGCAAGCGAGTCATTCATTCTGATCAGATTTTTTTAATGTCTTTATTTTTACATCATGTTTTTAAATAGAACTATTTAAATGCCTTTTACTGAAACTTCCTAAAGTCAGGCTTAGTAGTCTTTTTAGCTTTTAAACGTTTACCCCAGTGGATTGTATTCTGCAATAGCTATAATTTGGGGTTCCTTGCTGTTGTGGGCTATGGTCTGCTGAAGACCTTTTATAATGTGAAACATATGGGACTATGGAGGACTTGCGTCCAGTAGTCCAGAAAGCTTCAACAGAGATAGGGCCTACCTTTCTGTTTGGGGTGTTGTACTCGTGAACAGGTATTCGAGAGACATGACTGATTAAGAAAGTTTGTCTTTTTTCTCTCTGTCTGTCTTTTGAGCTAGAGCTGCTGCATGGTATGTGCAGCCTTAAGGCTATGATTCTCAGGCAGCCATTGTTGATGACATGCACAAGTGTCCTTACATGATAGCAGGTACAGAGTCTATGTCTTCCTGCGTTTACACCCTCTTGCAACTAGTTTGTGAGTTGTTGTGAGCATTTTACAGGCTGAACTCTTCCAAGATTTGGTTTAATTTAGAGTTGCATGACTAATATCTAACCCTCCAGGCGAAAAGAAATGAGTCAGAAACACAAAGAGTTATTATTATTATTTTGCATGACTGGTAACAGGAGGCACTTAGAAAGGGCTGGCAGAGCAACACATGAATGGGGATCCCGATAGTGTAGTTTGGACAGGTGGGTTGGCAGAGGGTTGGGACTGTGTACTGTAAGCAGAACACTGTGATCCCAGCAGGAGACAGAGCAGTGGGGCATTTCATTTTGTCACAGCACCACTCTCTGTACATGTGCAAGTCATTAAACAGAGAGGAGACCTGGAGTATGAAAGCAATAAAGTGGCAAAAATTGTTTTAAAGAAAAAGAGAGGGTGGCGGGGATAGAAAAAGGGAGAATGCTAACGTAATCCATTCTGGAGCACATTCCACGCTGACCCTGGGATTGAAAATGGTAATTAGGGACTGCTTTAGGAGCCTTCTGGGTGCACAGATTTGCTCAGAGCCAGGGCTGTCATTTTTATTTCCTTCAAAATGCCTCGTGAAAATGTGAGACAAATACATGCTAGAGTTCCAGAGTTACAAAATAAACGTACTAAAAATACTCCGCATCCACGTCTGTGGCTTTTTTCAATAGTTCTCAGGGCTTGTTTATTTCAGTCCTTCAGCAGTGAATGGGTGTCAAAGCCACAGCATAAACATACAGAGCCCCTGACAGGAAAAGGCCAGAACAAACTGTGGCCTTGTCCTTCTCTGGGCTCTTAAAGCCTGTCATGTCTCTGTGAGCATGTTATTCCACAGCATGGTGCCACACTCACGCCAAGTATGAATACATGGCGGTTTTCGAATGGTGAAGCTGATGGTATCAGAGTTATTAGAAGGCTGTTAGATGTAATCGCTAAATATTATCAGGAGACTCCAGCCACACGACAGAGGGAGAAAAAAACAAATGGGTTCTGCTTGCTGGAGAGGGCAAAGAAAGAATTAAAGCTAAATGCAGTGTAGGAAAACATTTTTGTCCGGCAGCAGCCTGCAGCCAGACTTCCTGAAGCATTTATGCATTTAGGTGTTACTCAGGCTTGCAGACAACAGCTTCAAAGGCTGTTAATCTTTCCAAATTCTCCCAAAGAGACAGCAGTGTTATGCATGTGTACCTGCTTTTTCCATAGGTATTTAATAGAGGACTTCTGCGTGCTGGGAAGTTTTGAGGTTTATCACATCAACTTTGGCTGAGGCGGCGCTCACTCTGTACCAGATAAAGCAAGCTTGATGATTTTTTTTTTTCATTTCAGTCCCATCATTTCAGTTTAATTGACCTGTGAAAATATTCGAGCTGTCTCAGAAATGGAGGCTGTTGCCGCAGCATGTCAATCACAGGACTGAAGTTTGAGCCAACAGAACCAATTTGGGAGTGTGAATGGGGGAAGGGATGCACTGATTGCTTTCATATGTGCGCTGTTTTTTTGTTTTTTTTTTGTGTTTCGCTCCGTCTCATCTTGTTTCTTGGTGATTTGCAAGCTATCCGCTTGATTATGCATTGGGGAATTTAGTTAGGTAATACCGATTTGTTTTGGATTCTAATAATGGCTTGTAATGGAAATGTGTCATATTTTCAATAGGCTTTTACAAGCAAGAAAATAATGCATTGATTAGTTCAGAAAATCGCATATCCTGCACAAATTTTAAAGCTTAGGGTTTATTTGTCATTGTAGCAGTGATGTTTTCAGAAAAAAAAATAATATGCAGCATTCACCCTAAACTTGAAAATTACATTTTTCTTTCTTTAATCTCAACAAGCCTATTTCTTCTGCTAGTTTGTGCACATATTACGTTACATATTAAATTCACTAATGGAAAATCCAGTTAGGGATACTGTAGACAGCTTAATCACAAAGTTGCACATAAATCAGTTTAGTTGCCGAGGCTCTGCAGAGTCTTATTATTTGTGAGTGACAAGTATGTAAAGTTTTTGCCAACTCTTATTACCACAATAGACTTTAAAATAAACAGCCATGAGGTCATTGCTCACATGATCAGGCTGTCATTTAACCCACAGGGCTTGCCCATGTCTGGATACAAAGACGGTCCTCATTGGTTTTTATGCCCTATTCCACGATGCCGCTTCTTTTATCTCATGGTTCACCTGCTCGTGCAGAGTGGAAGATTCCATGTGATGGCCAGGTGATGGGTGTGGCCCATTAAAGAGGCCTTCATCCCAGCACGCTTCACCGTACACTCCTCAACATTTCATTACTCATAAAGGAACGTTTGATTAATTCATTTTCAGCAAGGTTCCAGGTAAGAAAGGCATTTGGAATGAGTCGTAAGTGATGGTCATGCGTGTGTGAACGTGGCTGACAGCAGCAATGCAGCCTAGTCAAGCACCTACCTGCAAGGGTTGGAGCTTGGGGAGCCAGACACACCCTAATCCCCCAACATCCTGACCTTAGTAAACCTGTTGCAGCTTGTTCACCGTAAAACCTGGCAACCTCGAATCTCTCTCCGTCTCCCGCACTCCTCTACCAGCCTTGCTCTCACAGTGCCATGGGTGGGCTCTGGATTTGAGTTCCTTGGTACTGCTTATTCTGTCTTTGTGAGCTAATGCTGTGCCTCAAACCAGGAACAAAAGCAGTCAGTGCAAATTAAAGACCAATTATCTTTAGTGCGTGCTGGGGCAAGCTGCTCTCGGTGGACTGAGTGAAGGGTGAGAGAATTGAGAGGAAAATGCCGATTACTGCAGTGCCGCTGCACATGAATGTTTCATATGAAAAATCGAATACTACTTAGAAGTTCTGTCACGTGTTATGTCATTTTTAGATACTGGCTACATTTGCACATCTTTAGAGATCCGCCCATTTGAACTGGGTGGAGACCTTTCCTTTTTCACTCTGTTTAGTCTTATTCAATTTGGTGGTATAATTAAAAATTTATTAGTTTTTTGTTGGAAAATGTGCAGTTTTTTTTTTTTTTTTTTTGTTTTTACTTTTGAACAAAGCCAGACTAAAGCTTCATTTTTTTTTACTTTATGAACTTAAAAGTTATGTCTCTAAAGAAGAAGAGAACACGTTAGAGTTATGCTTTAAAATACAATTATACTGCTTCTTGCAGAAAATTGAGCCAGTATCATTCTTTGGTTAAGTTGATACCTCTTCCACACAGTTAGCACAGTACTTTGACACTTTCAAAATATTACGGGGCCTTCTTCCTATTGCCATGCCCTTGACGCAGAGCCTAAGTCCTGGCCTTTCTGTTCATTAATTTCCCATTAGTCAACAGTTTTTCCTTAAAGTCACTAGGGAAATAAACTAACCCGGTCATTAGCTTCAACGACCTGAGGACCTGAGCGCCTCCTCCAACAACACACACACTCACAAAAACACAGCACAGTCCCTACCAGTGATGACCTCTTCACATGGCCTCTTTCATTCCGCTCTGAGGGTTCATTTAAGCCATGGCTACACTGTCCCTGATTTATGGCTCCCTCACTGTGCCCGTTCAAAGTGATGGGCTGTAGCCTGCAGTCGTCTCAGAGTTAATTAATGGACGCATTCTCGACAGGATCGTTTAATCACAACAAACAACTGGGTTCAGTCAAGAAGAGCGATGATGATATCTTTGGCAGCTTTAGCAATGTGCTTCTGTTTTTGTGAGTGTGCTTGTGAAAAATTGAATATAAGATTCAGATTCTGTTGAACAGTAGTCTCTTACAAATGCAAGACAGGAGTATAAATCATTTCTTAACCCGGGATTTGGTTTCATTTACAGACAGTTTTCTGTTTATAAAATTTAACATAACACAGTTTTCCAAAAAGAAAAAAAATCTAGATCTCAAATCTTAGTTAATTAACTCTTCACTGATAGGAAATTAAATTGAAAGACAGATCAGTACTGGCTTTAATTTAAAATGTAAGAGCACATGAAGAACGAAAGAAACAAAGCTTAAGAATTGAAGACTTTAATTAATCAAAAAAGGTATTTTTTGGAACGATTTTACTCCCTTTTAATTTGAAAATTTCTTGTCACAAGCAGGAGACAGAATTCCGTAACCAAGCTGGATTTAGGTTTTCCACACTAACTTATGACTATGAGGTCAATTGGCAGCAACTTGCTACTCTCTCGCTGCTGAGCTGTACAAAGTGACAGAGAGGCCGTACTAAGATGCCGAGATAAGAGAGCAAGAGAAGAGTCTGTGGGATGTGTTGAGTAGCAGTGGGAGACTGGCTCTTCCTAGACCACCATAGCAGGAAGTTCATGGCCATGAGGTCACAGGGACTGGCCGTCACTCAGGGATTTACAGAAACTGGTTTCAACCGGAGTTCTTTGAAAGTTTTCTTTGTCTTTGTCATTGTTGCTGTGGATCACTGACTGCGGTTCCTAGATTGCTCATGTCCAGTCTTCTCCTGTGTGTCTTTTTGCAGTCCAGAGAAGTTAATTATCTGTCGTGCTCAAAAGGTTAAAAAGATTGCGATATGTTGTATTGTCTAAGAGAGTATACTGTAGTATCTGTAGCACACACTGCTGACCGTTGCTGTGTAAACACAGTATGCTGTGTCACACAATCTGGCATTGAAGTCACTCCCTAAAGTTATCTATGAGAACATGTACACAATGACACAAGCTGAGGACTTTGAGCGTCAAATATTGACCTGAGTCACCTGCAGTGCTGTGAGACTGAAAGGCTTTTTCCTCCTGTGTCTCTGCTTGGATATTTTTTAACAGGAAAGCCAAAGATTCATAATGGAGGAGGGATATGAACTCGACCTTACGTATATCACAGAGCGTATCATAGCTGTGTCCTTCCCCCGGGGGTGCTCCGAGGAGATCTACTCACACAACCTGAAGGATGTCACGCGTATGCTCAAGTCCAAGCATGCAGACAATTACCTGGTCAGTGCCGGTCCATTTGCTGCTTTCCCCTGGAAAAGTGCTGTAACTGTGTTGAAAGTGTTGAAAGGTGGTGGGCTTTGATGTAATACTGACTTGATCCCAGAGTGATTTCATGCATTTGTAAGAACTCTTGTTAAGGAAGAATGCAGAAATCTTAGAGACAACATTTTAAGACTTGTGCTTTGTTGTGTTATGTTTTCTTTAGATCATCAACCTGTCAGAGAAAAGACAAGATCTCTCTAGAATGAACCCAAAGGTAAGGCATCTGGCATTTACTTCAAATAGCGCAACTGTACACCTCTGTCAGTCTACTTGATTAACTCAGGCTAGTGAGCTAATGTGAGCAAGATATTATTGATTTGTAAAGCATAGGGACAGAGGATGATGAGTGTGTATGTGTGTGTCTAATGGTGTTGTTTTTAGACCCTGGATACAGGTTGGCCTGACCTGCATGCTCCACCTTTGGATAAGATCTGCACCATTTGTAAGGCCATGGAGAGCTGGCTCAATGCTGATCCGCTACATGTGGCTGTTATACACTGCAGGGTGAGCACCTACAGAACCTTTATACAAATATAATATTGTAAAACATAGAACAGTTTAAGACTAAGTGTGATTCGATCAGATTCGGTTAACATCTACTGAACTGTCTGTCATGAGAATGTGGTTTTACATGTTTGCTGAATCTGGGTAAGTGCAAACCAGTGAAACGAGAAAGGAAAAACACACAATAAGCAGAAAACAGTTATGTGAAATAAACAATGTGGTTCTGCAGTGTGGTGCAAAAGTCTCAAGGCACCTGTTCATTTTAATGTTTTGCTATGGGAAACAGTGATTTATTGGAATATGTGCAAAAATGCTTGGAAATACAATATATAGACAAACAAATAAACAAAAAACAGAGTTTGTGCAGTTCTTACAAACTTGAATGTCAGCAAGTTGCTACGACCACCTTTATTCTTTGACACAGCCAGAATTCGATTGGGGAAGATTTCTTCTAATTTCTATTACTGGTCCTCAGGAATAGTTCTACAGGCATCTTGAAGGACATTCAAAGTTCATTTTTGGATGTTCTTAATCAAGATGATCCCAAACTGTTTCAGTAATATTGAGATCGGGGTTCTGGGGAAGTGACTCCATGACTGATAGTGTTCCATGTTGTATTTTTCTATCCAGGTATGCTTTTACTGCATTTACAGTGCGGTAAAGCATAATCAGATGCTTTCCAGATGGTATTAGATAATTGATCAAAATCTGATGAATCAAAATCTGATGGTATTTTTCTGCAGTCATAATTTCATCAATTTTGGTAAGATCCCCAACACTATTGGCTGAAATAGAGCCTCATACCCTGAAAATACCTCCGCCGTGCCTCATAGATTGCTGTAAACACTCACTCCACAGCAGTTTGGCCACCTCCGTACAACAGATGAAACTAAAAATCTCAAATTTGCCCCTCATTTTCTGTTAGGTTGTTGTGTAATTTGGCAAACCTCAACCTTTTTTCTCTGTTTGCCTTAATTAAGAAGGGCTTCTTGACTGCCACCTTTCATCCACAGAGACCATTTCTGATGAGGATTTGACAAACAATAGATGGATCAGCTTTCCAAAGAGATATAAGGCCTTTGGAAAGTTTCTTATATGTGTAAACACTATTAATGTATATATAACTGTGTTATCCCTGGCAGTTTGCTAATAATAAAGTATCTAAAGATAAAGATCTTTGCTAAGTTGTCTGATATGTGTAGCCACTACACTGGTTCACCCCTTAAGTTGGTACCTTTTTACACTTGACTTGAATGATTCTTAGGTCAGTGTTAAATGGGTTGGCAAACAAACAAAAAAACATTCATCTGAAAATAGCTAAGTACACGGACTGGATGACTGGACTGAAAATGAATAAGCAGCAAATAGCCAAAGGAAAGCTTGAAAGACCTCCAGAAAGCCTGGAGAAATGTTGCTCAAGACTACCGTAAAACATCTTATCTTAAAAATAACATTTAATCTTTACAAAAAAAAGTCTGGCTCAGTGGAAACAAAATTTAAAAGAAATGAGAGGTGACTCATGACTTTTGGACAATACTGTTCGTTTGGCTGGAACTTGTGTTTATGAAGACTGTGGGGGGCCTTTTGGCTTTGGTTTCATTTTTAGTAAGACTGCTGCGTGTGTAGTGAATCATCTCCTGTTTTTTTTTTTTGTTGTTGTTTTGTGTGGGGGTTTTTTAGGGTGGCAAGGGTCGAATTGGCGTTGTCATCTCATCGTTTGTGCATTTCACTGACGTGTCAGCCAGGTAACCAACACACTTCTCATGTTTTGTTACTATAAATGATGTTTTTTCTTTTTGCTCTGAAGTCATGGCTCATCATGCTATGTGCGACCGCTCACTTCTGGTGGTGAAGCAGTATGAACAACAAACCACAGCAGTTCACGAAGACTCGATATGTTGTGTTTTTGTAGACGATAAGCAATGTCAAACCAACCACCAGGGGTTTATTCACCTCCTTTAATTTCGGGTTAAGGTGAATCAGAAAGTGAGTCAAAAGAAAAGTCACTTCTCTCCGATTCAAAGAAAAGCCACACAATTTAAGCAATGAATCACCCCGTATTGAATTGCGTGAATCAACTTAGAAACATGTTAGTTACTTAAATGCCTTCTAGCCACAGTGTCAGTTTCAATGTATTTTTTATCATGAAGAAAACGGATTATAATTTTCTGACCAAGCAAGCAAATTCAGAAGTGCCAAAGGTTTAAGTAAGGGCTGATATTGACACGACCTGCTGATATGGCATTGCGTAGATTCTTTCTGCACACAGCAGACAGTGTGGCATGGCCATATATTGGCTCTTAATTCAGACAGTTTGTGCATTTCTTAGCACTTTTCTTTCCCACTTCCCACTGAGGAATACCATTGCAGTAAGGTGAATGTGAAAGACAGGGGGCAAAAGAGAGGTAGAGAAAGAGACAGGAAAACACAATGGGACAGATTTACAAAGGAATAGATTCCGGGGTGGGGGGGAGGAGATGAGCGAGATGGCCGATGACAGTAACAGAGCTTTGGTGAAAGGGCTCCAGAGCCTGTTGGTTTTAGGTCTGTCTGAATAGCCAAGCTGCGCACACACTCTGGCCTCTCTGTGTCCTCCTCTCCCCCTCTGTGTTTACTTAAAGCTGGCATTCCCTTCCTCTCTGTTGGAATCCTCTGTTTCTCTGGTTACTTTCCCTCTTGTCTATGCATGTATGCATGCGTGTGTGTGTGTGTGTCTCTCTCTGTGTATGTATGCATTGCCTTAATTGGATGTTACAGTCCACACTATTCAATTATAGAGGAGAGTATAATCTTTCTCTTGAGTCATAATTACCTAAAGCGTTTTACGCGTCTCTCTCTTTCTGTCAAAGTGCTGACCAGGCGTTGGACCGCTTCGCCATGAGGAAATACTACGATGATAAGGTCTCAGCTCTGATGACACCTTCACAGAAGCGGTAAGACCCAAAACATAAGCACGCCCTTCTGTTTGGTAATAGAGCTCTAGCAGTGTGTTTGGCTCCTCATTGACCCACCTCTCCATCCAAACAATCAGATCCCAGACCCAGCTGATACCATACAATTCATTCAGTCCCCATGCTGTTTGTTTACTTTTTGAGCTGACAGCTAGTCATTGTTTATCATTTTAATAGGATCCCATGGTAACCTGATGTAATCGTAAACCTACATATCTCGCTCGCACTCATGGCTCTTGGGCAAAACTGGTTTATCATTTCTGTCTAGTCTCTGTGCTTATCAGTGATAAACAGTAATGATGACAGTTACTGTTTTCTAGAGATGCTAGACAGCAGATTCTGATTTATTTCAACAGAGTCGTGTTGGCCGTTTTCTCCCCCCCCCCCCACATATTTAGCATAAGCAAAGCTGATGTGCCATTCTCACCTTGCAAAAAAAGCAAATAAGCCTGTTTTTCCAAAATGCTGAAGTGCTGTCAGGTTTGGAAAAAATATCTTAGCGATATCACTTTACCTGTGAAAAATACATCTTTTTTTTACAGAAAGGTCTGTAATAGAGTCAGGGGTATTTACTAGGCAAGGTCAATGTAATGAAAAGATATTATCAAGTTGCATTATGGGTGTTGAATGAGCCAACATTTGGAGACTAACTGTAGTGGCTAAACGACAGGATATCTTGGCTTCAATGAACAATGACATTGTTCTTTTTATATCTCACTTTTCAGTCCCCCTTCGCATTGAATATGTAATACTAAATCACTGAAGCAATACAAAGTCTTGTGTAATGTTGATATCCACCTCCGCTTTCCTCTCAGGTACGTTTGGATCCTCAACAGCCTGCTAAGCGGATCCATGAAGATCAATGCCTCCCCCTTGTTCATGCACTGCGTCATCCTTCACGGGATTCCAGATTTCAACTCCGCAAGAGGTTAAACACCTATTGTTTATCACTGTATATAGTTTCAAAGAAAATACCATCACTTCTAGCATGGCACAAAGAAAGGAATTCGGAGACAGCCACATCAGAGTTTGAGGGGTAAACAAAAGTGGAGTCTGATTGGAACAGTGTCTCTCTTTTTCCAACTCTCACAAGCATGCTCAAACAGATAGAGGTTGTTTACATAAACAGAACTGAAGAAATGAACTTCCCAGTTCCAAGTGAAACCATGGGAACACACACATGCGCATTTTCGTGTGTACACGTAAATTGCTGTTTTCACTAATTTTACTGAAACAACAAAAAGGTTTTCATCACATCGTGGAGCTCAAATCCCTTTCTCACAGCAGCAGCTTATCACACTTCAGCTGTGAGCAAAACAAGCCAGGAAGCATCTCCTGAATATTTTAGCTAACTGGTTTCTCGAGGTCTTGATAAGAAGGAACCTGTGACTAACATTTTGAAAACACTTTGTCCTTTTTTTATATATAGTGTGCTGTCCTTACATCAAGGTCTACCAGGGAATGCAAGCAGTGTATTCATCTGGATTCTAGTAAGTAGTTTACACATGTGGTACAGTAATTTGAACATTATAGTTTACTTCAAAGTATGTTGGAAGGCTTTAAAGCAGTTTTCTGTTTTAGTTAGTTTAATGTTAATTTGAATTAGTTACTGCTTTCTGTAAATATCTGTAATTGCTTCCACACTCCGGCTCCATGTGACAGACTTCTGTTGTTTTTGTTTAAGTCACATTGGTCCAGGCCACAGAGACCGTGTATGCATCATGCTGGAGCCTGCGCAGCTCCTAAAAGGGGACATCATGGTAGGGAAAAAAAACAAACTGCGTTTTCAGAAGTTGCGAAATCTGTGCTTTTGTATTCATCGTGACATTTGTTTGTTTTGTCTCTCGTAGATTAAATGCTATCATAAAAGTGAGGTGACTTCAGAGCGTGAGGTTATTTTCCGGGTGCAGTTTCACACGGGAGCAGTACAGGGTTACAACCTGATGTTTGAAAAAGAGGACATGGAGACTGCCAACAAAGGTAGACCTAGAAAAAAAAATCCCATGAACAGATCTCATCACCCCACTGATAGTAAACAGCAACTCCTCAACTCTGCACAGCATCTGCGAGGTTCAGCTTGAACTTAATTTAGACATGCTGCTTTTAGACCAATAATTTGGTTTCCCCAAACATGTTACAATTACCGAGAGAGCTGCAAACTAACAGCAACTTTCATCTTACTGGTTCTGGCTCTCATTTTTGCACTTCTCTCCTTTGTGCTGTCAATTCAGATCCCAGATTTCCAGATTATGGTAAAGTGGAGCTGGTTTTCTCCGAGGGACCAGAGAAGATCCCAGGTAGACTTCTAACTCTTTATCTTTATTTAAAATTACTATAGGGAGTAGTAGGAAAATTTGAAAACCAGATACAATGTTCTCTTCTACTTTTTTACGTGCTGTCCCCTCCTCTGGTCATTTCCCTCTGCCCCCTGATGAGAAGGGAAATGTAGTGTGAAGTGTGTGCTGACAGAGAGGCAAAGAAGCACAGCATGAGCTGCAACAGAGGCCCCACAAACTATGTGGGGCCTCTGTGCAGGTCTGGTATACAATGAAATGTATATATTTCTATTGTCTGCTCTGTTTTTGATTAAGTCTTTTGGTCACCAGCCATATTGTGGTGGCACTTTCTATTACAGCTTGGTAATAATGTGGTTCCTGAGGGGTAATAAGAAGGTAATAATATGGAAATAACAAGTTATTAACACTTAAATACCAAGTATACCTAGTAATAACTAGGTAATATGTTCTGTCAACAGTGGTTATACTTGAGTAATATTAAACTGATATTTACATATTTAGGAAAGAAGTGTGGAAACAAACTGTGCATTGGTTGACAGCACTACTTAGTAATAAAATAGGGCTATAAGTTATATAATAACAATATAATCACCTTCTAGCAATAACATAGTAACATCTGAGCATGTGAATTTTTATATACTGAAATATACTGAATACTAATATTAGTTGATTGTGCTTTGTTTCTCCTCTAAGGTAGCAGTTTAAATATTGTTTTTGCCGCTGTGGCTAATGACGTGGACAATGAGCAGTAGTTTATGTGTAATAACCAGCAATCATGAGTGTAAAATACAAAACTTCACATTTTTAGTAATGTTTCCTGCATTTAAACCTAGGACTCCAAAAATATGTCAGTATTTGCTAGATGTAAGTAAATAATAATGACTCAAGCGTGGGTTTATGCTATACAGATTATTTGTTGCTACACTAATAGAATACAGGCCATGGTTCTGACAAGAGTTGAGTAAATGCAAGAAGAAAATGAGCACCCTTTAACATCCTGACCATATGACAGCTCAGCTTAACTGCCTTTTAATAATAAAACAGTTTCTCTGAATATGAATTTGCGTTTTCATTTGTAATAGCATTCAGCTTGTTTGAAGTTACATATTCTACCAAGGTTACCAAGCTGTAATAGAAAGAGCTACCAATAATATTTTTGCTGATGATTTGGGGTCTTAAATAAAAACCTTAATTTTATTTTATCTTAGTTTGTAGTCAGCCCACAAATTAAATAAAATAGTTTCTTTAAAAGGCAGCACGGTGGTTAGCACTGTTGCCTCACAGCAAGAAGGTCCTGAGTTCAATTCCACCATCAGGCCGGGGTCTTTCTGTGTGGAGTTTGCATGTTCTCCCCGTGTTTGCGTGGGTTCTCTCCGGGTACTCCGGCTTCCTCCCACCGTCCAAAGACATGCAGCTTGTGGGGATAGGTTAATTGGATAATCCAAATTGCCACTAGGTGTGAATGTGCGAGTGAAAGTGAGTGCGAATGGTTGTCTGTCTCTGTGTGTTAGCCCTGCGACAGACTGGCGACCTGTCCAGGATGTACCCCGCCTCTCGCCCTATGACAGCTGGGATAGGCTCCAGCGCCCCCCGCGACCCTGAAAAGGATAAGCGGAAGTGAATGGATGGATGGAGTTTCTTTAAAAATAAAAATGTTCAGAAATGACATGGCTTTCCTGCTATCAGATTAATGAGAAGGGTCAGTGCTACTTTCCAGTCACTTTACGATATATATGACACTACAGCCAGCTTAACATAGCATGCAAACTGGACAGTAATGTGTGTGTTTGTTTGTTTTTTTGGTTTTTTTTATTCCAGGTGCTGACAAGTGGAAAAATGGAGGAGATGTTATTGTGGACTACAACACAGCAGATCCTCTAACTCGTTGGGACTCGTACCAGAACATCTGTGATGGCGAAGGTACTGTTGTGATGCCTCAGTGGTCTTTACATGACTCACAAGACTAGTATTCATCCAACTTTATTTCCTTATCATTTTCCCAGCTTGCAGTGCGTTCTTTCTCTTTTACATTTACATGAACACATGCACCCTTTTTTTTTTTTCCCCTCTCTTGGTTATTAACCCCCCTTGACAGGGCCTGTTGTGCATGTTAGTGAGTGGCTACAGCGTGATCGCAATAACATCGACGCAGTCACCACTACATGTTATGGGTGTTTCTATAAGAGTGGGACTTCAATCCAAGTTATGACACTTTCGAAGCTAAACTTACCTTTTAGACTTCAGGGTGATGGAGATGGCATGGAGTGTGTCTGTGTGAGGGAGAGGGAGGATTGTTGTTGTACGCAGGAAATGCTGGGTTCAAAGGAAGAGCAGTCAGTTCTCAGGAGATTTCTGTTTTGTTGTTTCATGAAATGAAAGGCATGCTTTAACCCACTCACACATACACACTCTCACTACCGCCCACACACATACACACGCACATATAAATATATATATGTGCGTGTATATATACATTCTCTCACACACACACACACACACACACACACACACACACACACACACACACACACACACACACACAGACCAGCACCCTGTCAGGGCGTCCCGTCCTAGCTGTGGTTGTTGCTCTCCACCCGACCACAGAATTCACAACAACCTCCCAGAATAGAGCAACGTGGTAGTGGCATTAAAACACAGATCCACCCTGTTCCAGAATTCATTGAGTGTTTTTATAAGCTAAGTTCAGCATGCCTTTTTTTTTTTTTTTTTTTTTTTGCTTTCATTTGAAATACTCCAATAGATTTCTTCATGCTCACTTGTGGGAATGCAATAAAAACACAACCACTCAAATTTAAGAATTCATCAAAGCAAAGCAATGACAACAACAAAGAAGCATTTTTTTCTATTGCCTCGATTCCCGAGCATTCATGTGGGATATTTACAGCCTTATTTTTCTCATGTAAACGCTACATTTGAGAAGCAAGACTAGGAGCTTTGTTGGAATTCTACATCCACTTACCACCCCGTCTTCTGGCAGGACTAGTTTACCTCCGTGAGGCTGTCACTCGGAGCTTCTTCAGGAGGAGGAAGTCTAGGAAACGTTTGCCACTTTAGTGCTAATATTTTGAAAAGAAAACCTCATTTACTTCAGTGGCTTTTCTTCAATCGTCAGTGTGTGTTTATCTCCTTGTGTGAATTGATGGCTAACAAAATTGTTAATTCAAGAAAGGTTGTTGACTATTTTTTTTTTTTTTTTTTAAATGTATGTGGCGGCAGTGTTGGTTTTTGTTTTTTTGTTTTTTTTTTAAATTTAAATAGAAAGGCGGATATCCATAGAAATGTCTCCTCTTTGCTGTAAATAATCCAGCATTTTTCATTGGACTTTTTCCCTAATTAAATGCACTTCTGTATAATATGGTCACAGCAACCAATATATAATGTCCTAATTATAACATAGAATACAAATAGTTCAAAAATGTTAGTCCACATTAAATGAAAGCAGATCCTGTAAAAGTTGATTAAATGGTTTTGGAAAGGTTTTGAATGATACTTTGATACTTGAAATCCTCTGACAAATTAACTAAAAAAATGGATAGATGTCTTTTTTTTTAAGTTTCTTTTTAAATCATAGACGGTTACATTTTGTTTTTGTCTTCTTTTGAAGTGATGATTTGGACTTGAGGGTGAAGTGTCAAATTAACTATGGAGCAAGCTGTGTTATTTGCCAAATTACATTGACTTTATTTTAAAAATAAGCTACAAAATGCACAAATCCTATAAAAATGGTTAAAAGGTCAAGTTCAGTGACATATTAGTTGAGTGTCTAGTGTTTCTTTCCTCTGTAAAGTTGAGCATCTTAACATGAGATGGGAGATTGACTCATATTTGGAAGAATCGCATGAACTTTAATTTTCAACACTTGTGCATTGGTTTTATGAAGCGTGGAGAATCTCAATTTAACTAAGTATATTGAATTTTAGGAAAGCCTAGCATCAGATATACACCTATAAAATGAAACCTTTGACTTAAGGCACTGAAAGACTATCTCTCTTCTGTTTCTGATTACTGTGTTGACCATGTCAACTCCAAAACTAAGAAAATAAAACTTTCGTCATGGTGAGATACTGCTAGGGTTGAGTATTGTTCAATAATAGTCATTATTTGTTCATCTCTTTGTACAGTGGAATTTAAAGTGATTCCCTGTGTGCGGCAGTATACAGATCGTAGGCACATGCAGAAGGCTGGGTGGAAGCAAATGAGGATGCTCATCATCATTATGTGTTTGACTCACATTTTTGGCATTCGTGGGGTGCAGGATGGTAGTAACTGAGAAGGAATGGAAAGGGTTGGGTAATTGCATAGGCATACACAACCAGACCTCCTCCTGTGATACAAAAGCAGCTGGAGGAGCAGTCCTGGTTTCGCTGCTTTCGTGCACTGTAATTGGTAGATTATTCAGAGACTGACCATACCACAACAGCCAAAATGATGAATGCTTGATGTAAATGGTTTGACTGATTTTCTTAGGTTTGCTACCTAAAAACACGTTTGGTGAACCATCTATGGCTTTCTTAATGTCAAGATTGGTAAAACTGTTTTGAAAACAATGCGTGAACCCCGTAATTGGGTTTGAGGCACATCTGTTTCTTGCCTGCATTGTGCATGAGGGCATCGGGCGTGTAATTTCACGACACACAAGAGTAAAAGAAAAACAAACTTGGCTGCCACTTTTCGTGAAATTTGCCCCGAGGTCCCTGCAGACGCTAATGACTGCTTTAATTGAAAAGTGTCTTTTTGAGGAGCGAAAATTTCTTGAAGTACAAGAATGTTGTTTTCATTCTTTGATCTTCTCTGGCCTGCCCTCTCTCTTTTCTTTCATTCCCTGATTTTTTTTTTTTCTTCTTCCCCCTCTTCTCTCCCCTATGGGGTAGTCCCCTAACGCAAGGCAAGAGGTTGAGGCGGGCTGGTTTCCTCCAGCCCGCCTCAGCTCCTTAGTCCCGCCTCACTTGTTTACATTCCTCTGCCCTTATTTGGAAAACTCAAGGTCTCCCCTCGCCACCACCCCAGCCCTCCCTCTTCCCTTGTATAGAGTGCAAACACCTTCCTGGCAGTGAAAGAAAGCTGGGCCAACTTATTCGAAGTCTCTGAATTTGCCCCTTACGATTACCTGCGTGTTTAAAAACAATGTCTGCTCCTCTGTGCATTCATCGCCTGTTCAGCTCTTCAAGTTTTATTTCACCGGAGGCTGGGATTGTCTTGTTTGCTTACCTGGCAGGGACCGTGAAGGTAAGAGATTTTATTCTGCAGCCAAATGGGTGGCCATGAAGGAGGAGGCAAGGTGTGGGGGGGTGGTGATGATGAGAGGGATTGATGAAGAAAGATGACTAGTATTCAGATTCAAACCCGCTTAAACCTTAGTAGAAGGAATTTCCACTAAGACTGGGGGGGGAAAAATCCCAGCAGCACATGCCTGAAAGCAGTGTTAAAAAGTGCATTTTGTGTGACGGGAGGGACAAATCATGCAGAGAGAGGGAGGGGGGCTTTTATCATGCATGTCTGGCATTCAAATCCTCTGGTTGTGGATTGACTGAAAAGCAAGTACTTTAAAGCAGTAGGCTAAGGAAGAATTGTAGGAGTCATGTTCCCTGCTCTCTTTTGTTGTAGCGGAGGGAGAGTGACAGTGAGACGGCAGTTCTGCTTACTTGGCAACATTGTTCCCTCACCCTTGGAATTCAACTCCAGACCTCATTTTGCAAGATGTCTAGCATGGCTGAAACCAGACTTTTCTATTGTCGTGCATGCCGTGATTTAGCTCGGCCTTTCAAAATGACTGACCTCTTGAGATTTATCTGTTACTTCTGAGGATTAAGGAGCTTGTTTGGACATATGCTGAGGGTCAAGGGGCAAGAGCGAGGGAGTTGGGTGGCTTCATCACAGCTGGGTGAGGAATGCAGGGGTCAGAGAAGATCCACAGTTGTCCGACTGTTGCAGCAGCAGATAGAAGACTTCACATCTCATATATAATCTATATAATGAAGAACACCTTTTGCCTGTTATACACGCTACTCTACTACTGCTACTACTAAACAAGCACTCTAACAGTTGGCCTATTGGGAATGGATGAGTGGAATATCTTTAGTTGAAGTAAGTTTAGATTACAGAAAAAAAATGTGGTTGAGTCTACATAACATTACACTTTTTTTCCCAACACATCTAATTTAATGGCTTGTCTCAGTTCAGTATTATAAGTCACATCTCTCTCTTCTCGTACTCTGTGTTGTAGTCTCTGTTGTCATGGTCATGTGAGGCGTGAGTGTTTGGCGTCTGTAGCGAGTCTTCTCGTTAACAGAGTCTTCTCTTGTCTGTGGTTTCTTGTCCCGTTTGTGCGTCTCTGCTGTTTGTGCGTCTCTGTGTGTGCCCATACCAGCTGACTGTATGAAGCGCCGCATCTCTTCTGTTTTGCAGCACCACGATCTCAAGGCCTAACACAGGACAGGACGGCAAACAAGAGGAGCCCCACCAGAGGAGACGTCGCGCTGGCCCAAGGGCCACGCACAACCTCCGCAACCTCTAGCCCTGACCACAGTGACCACGCTCTCTCTGTCAGCAGTGACTCAGGCTTATCTAGCACTTCCCTGTGGGCGGACAAACCCACACCTGTCGCCAGCGCTACCACCACCACCACCACCACCACCTCCGTCAAAGGTAACCAGGGACCAAGTCAGCAGGAAAAGGTCCAGCTAAAGCGCCTCCTGAGTGGTTTTGGCCTTGAGGATCCGTCACTGGAGGAGATGACTGACGAAGGTGCTAGAGTGGGTGTCCAGCAGGTAGTCCCAGCGCAGGTGCACATCAATGGAGACCCACAACCCCGAGAGAGGGAAACAGACATTCTTGATGATGAAGTCATTATAGGTCACGATCTGCACAGTGTGGACAGTTTAGGAACCTTGTCGTCATCGTGCCACAAGAGCAGCCAGAACTCCCTGCTGTCAGATGGCTTTGGGAGTCCCGGAGGAGAGGAGCAGCAAAGCCAAAGCCAGCACCACATCCACCATGTCGCACCTCATCCTATTGAGGACTATGAAAGATCCTATGCTGAGGCTAGAAGGGGCTGTCTGAGCTACAGGAGCAACTCTATAGCCTCCTCTAATCCCAGCAATGCCCCTGTACCCCAGCAGCATGTCTACAGACAGGGAAGCTATTCCACACAGTCCTGGGTTCGGCAGCAGCAAATGGTTGCCGCGCAACACTTTACCTATATGCCAGAGGATGGAAACGATGCAGATCGATTCCACCGGAACAAGCAGGGTGGTAGTCTACCTAAAGCAGGCCTGCCCACTGAACCACAGGGCCTTACCAGGGACTCCGCAGCAGATCTTATTAGAAACGCAGCACCCCACAAAGAACAAACGTCGATAAACAACAACAATAACAACAAACGGGATGAGGAGTTCAAATCTCTCACGAAGGACATCGACAACTCCATCGACCAGCTCAATCAGCTGATCATGGACCTGGATCCCACGTTTGTGCCGAGCCACGGCAGCTCCATTAAGAGAAAAGGTGGAACACCGGTTAACGGCTCGGTCGGCAAATGTTCAAACGGCATCAACCTCAGATTCAGCGATAATAACTCAGCAGACCTGAAAAGCACACAGCAGACAGGTAAGATAGTCAGTCTGGGTGTGGTGGTGGTGATGATGGTGTTGATGTGGTGTTGTCCTGGAAAAAAAAACGTGTGACTAATCTTAGACAGGAAGTTGTTTGCCTTGATACAGCAAATAAACACAGAAAAAAAAAATATAAGCAGCAAGACCTATTTCATCCCAAGTTGTTTTTCTCCAGCACCATCCGCTTTTCTTCCACTTCACTCAAGAGCGAACATAACAAAGCACACCTTCTCTCCCCTTCCCACCTGGCGTGTTTTAGGGGCAGAAATAGCAGGGTTGTTGCCAGGTTTTCAGATGTTTTCAGATATTTTCAGAGGAAAGAGCGCTGTCCTGACTTGTTTTTAGCTGTGTGTTTAGATATCTGAGGGCGGGATCAATGTGGTACATGAAGACAGACAGAGCAGCTATCGTCCTCTCTTCTGAACCTTACCGTCTCAGTGTTTGTTAATAGAGATTTCATCGTGTGCACACAGATATGTCCACAATCAGTGACTATTGTGCACTGAAAGCTCGTTGTTGTGTATAGATGTTCAAAGCACCACATTTGAAATGTGCACTTCATTCCTTCATTTAACATTAATCATCTTTATTGCGTGCCGGTTGTAGTCAGCATCACGCTTCCATCTTTTCTTTTGAGTTCTTATCCATGATTCTGTGACGCTGAAAAATCTGCTTTGATTGTTGTTAGACTTGCTGAGCAAACACGGGTTATGCAACACGATGGCTATAGTATCTACAACGATAAAGTTATTTCCTCTTTCTTCAAGTTGAAACTGATTCCTGGAGTCATGCTGAGGTTCTTGAAAAGCTGCAAAAGAATTCACATTATCTCCTTCCGTACCTCTCTGCTTCTGTCTACATCTGTAAAATTTAATAGAGCCTAACATTTCTGATAAATATATTCAGAAACCAGAAAAAAAAACATACAGCATTTTTTTTTTTTTAAATTAAAATGCAACATTTTTATTCATTTAATGCAATTTTACTAAAAACTAGTAATGCAGAGGTAATTCAGAAAGCTATCTACGTGGATAAATCACAGCATGCATGCGTGGTTGTAGGAGGGGGGTGCAAAATAGGGAGGCCTGAGGAATTTCCAGAAGAGAAACAAGTCAGCCCGCAGGCGATGTTTCTTTCCGTTTGATTCAACAGGCATACCTGTCTGCACATATCCACTACATGGGTGCACCATTCCAAGTAAAAAAAAAAAAAAAAAAAAAATGCCAAAGGCGCTAACTTTTCTAATTTGCAAATAACCTGTGGGAAGCATAAGAGTGTTTGTTTATAAAAGTTCTTCACGATATAGGATGTCTGTTTAAAGTTCATGCTTTGGGCCTTGTTTTTTGCACTTTCGAAGTTGCATCTAGGATCTATGCAGCTAGACGTCTTTTTTGCTTGTGTTCATCATGTTATTGCTTGTAGCTTCCATGCTGTTACTCTTTTAAGCATAACACTAGCTGTTTTTACACCTTAACGGAGTTAAAAGGCGTAAAAAGAATATTAGAGCTAAGGAGAGAAGTTATGTTTTTTTGCTTATAGTGTTAACTAAAAATGATCATCTGAAATTCATTATTAGCCTGGTCAAGTGGCAAGCAACATGAAAAGGCATTCATCAACATAATTCCAACATGGCACAAACTGCCTTACCGGTTATTGTCTAGGTATCCCTCCACAATACTGTAGATAATGTATTATACTTCCCATCCCATCCTTACTCTTGAAGTCATGACAGGTTGCAGAAATAGTGGTCGATATGGTACATTTTTCCATGAACACGATCGAGCTGTTTTTTGTTTGTTCATAAGCAGAGAGTGCTTGCTAGCGCTGTCCTTAGACGTTAAACGTGACGAAACTATTGAGGAAAAAATGCCGCGTATATATTGTTTATCATGACTCTGGTTTTACGTGGCCTATCAACACAATTTAAAAACTGGTATATATCACATTGTTGCTTTGTCATCTTAAAGTGGTCGTGTGATTGGCTTACCACGACTAATATATTCTTCCTCAGTCAAACAGCAGCACTCATGCGATTGTTTTGCCCCCCTTAGCTCCAGGTGTTGTGCCAAAAAGTGATCATCTGCCAGAAAGTGATTGTCGTCCGCGGGAGCGCGCGCAGCCGCTGAAAGCTGTAGCGCCCAGATTACTTACGTAGTCAGCTACTTCCATGCAACTGATATAAGGTGCGGTCACCTGAACACAGCTTCAAGCGTCTGTTTGTTGAAAAATAGTAACGTGACCTCATTTTCTTGTTCGTAACGGTAACAGCGTTGTAACGATAGGAATTAGTTAGATTACTCGTTACTGAAAAAAGTAACGCCGTTATTCCCATCACTGTTAAAGTGGTTTAACAAGCAAAAAAAAATCATCTGAAAATGATCAGCTACAAGGACTAGAACATAAGGGGGGAAAAGCAGCCAATGTCCAAAGAAAAACTTTAAAAGACCGCCTAGAACAAAAAATATAAAGAAATAAGGGGTGGCTCAAGAATTTTGCAAAGTACTCTACATAGACCTGCAGTAAGAAGAAATAATGTCATCTATGCATACAGCTCTGTCTGTGTCATCTGTAGATCAGGCAAAGTGATTAATGAGGCCAGGCATTAGCATTTTTCAGGCCTGAGAGGTCAGAACTCACTGGGAGGGCTCAAATTAACACCCTGGTGCTGAGTGGCCACACTCTTCAGAGCAGTCACAACACTGAACACCCTTCACCCCAAATACACACTGAACACAATCTAGCTAGACCTCCGGCATTCCTCAGCTGTCCACTCAAAACATTACACAAGTGGCAAACCTTTTCTCTTTTGTGCATGCCCAAATTCAGGTGTAACACATTCCCAAACTAATTGTGTTATCATAATATATAGTTATTCCTGTGCTATACTGTGTCTGATTTAAGGAGGCTAAGTAAGATGTAATTAAAAACTACCAACATGACAGAGGTGAAGACTGGAGGTTCCATTAAACTGCTTTGATATTGAAGAAATTTGCCATTTGACTCATTGTAATCAGAAAAAAAAGTGTTAGAAATACTGTGATTACTCTGTGTAACCATACTGCTTCAAAAAGGTTTTTAGGAATTCAGTTTAGACAAACCCTGTCTGCACTGTGCGTACTTTCCTCAAAGGTACCAAAGGTCAAAGCACCACTGTTTCTCATTGGTGTCTTTAAGGCACTTCACTTCCTTGAAAGCAGTGATGCATGTAAATCTGTTAACATTTAATGACCTTCTTGCTGCTGTCTACCTGTGTGTATGCAGCTGTCCAATCCAGTGAAGGACGAGTGGGCATAACACAGACTCTGAGTTGCCAAGGAAGGGACGTCATAGATCATTCAGGCTTCTGTAACTCAAGATGGACTGAAACAGAGGAGTACAGAGGCCAGCGGAGATGTCCCCCCTGTGTGCCACAGTCCCAGGTAGATACAGCACATGTGTGCAGTATATTTAAATGACCTCTTTCCCTCTTAACTTTCAGTTCCGGTTATACATACGTGTGTAATGTTTGTTTCAGCATTCCATATTGTGTCGAAGTGACAGTGCGGATTACAGATCCAACGGCCCAGATGTAGATAATAGTGACATACCTCCACCCACTCCTGCATTCCCCATCTCTCCACCAACACCTTATGGTGAGTACACTGCAGTTCAGTTTTCATACATGCACTAAAGGCCTTAGGGAGATGTTTGCAATAATCTAGATGCCTACCACCATAGACGAATTGGAATAAGGATCAACCAGCCCTCTGATACAAATGCAGTTTGGCACCCATGTGATTTCCACCTGTGTCTGCTTGTGCAGTGTGAGAATAACATAATATTCAAGTTATGGTCTGTTCCCTGCCTGCTGGATGCTTTACTCAGATGCACCCCTCACCCAATCCATTACTTCCAGTATTGAGAATGTGACTGATTTGTGTCGTGTGCTCCATGTGAATACAGGCAGCGGTGGGCGATGATCCTACCAGCGTGGGGAAACAGCTTATTTGTCTCTGTAACTGTCACCGGATTTCTCAGCGCAGTTGATAATGTGTGTTGTCCCATGCTCATGTGCTTTGGGTTTTCAGTGAAAATCTTCTCAGAAGTGACTCACAACAGGAATACTCCATCTCCCAGCATGCAATCTTTTGGAGGCTACAGAACCGACCACGGTGGGTTCTTCAAAGTTCTTCAAACTGAGCTTGTTTTTGGGGGGGTTTTTTGTCCATTTTCTGAGAAATTAAAATGAAATGACAGAAAAACAACACAACTATGCAAACAATAATAATATATATGTATGTTTTTTAGCATGTTTTCATTACAAAAGAGACAGGACAGGCATTTTGGATTTTTTCTGCGTTATATTATAATAATGCTTGCATTGTTTTCTGTGCAACATCAGCCGTTTTGAGACAGATGGTAAAAGTTATCTCGAAAGCAGGGAGATTCCTAACCATTGTCTGCCCTTCATGGTTGGTTTTTAAAGAATGTCTGCATGGTCACGACCTGCACAGAAAACCCCTTTTTTGGGACATAACTGTGTTGTTTTTTTATATTAAAATCTTTTTTTTTTCTTCATGTTTTACTTTGGTCTTTATCCAGTGCAGAAAAAAAATCCAGACTGTGAGTTTGTTTTTAGAGATGGATGGATGGAGTTTAAGAAAGAGTGCATTTATAGCACTTTGTTCCTACAGGCCTGGTGGACTTTCCAGAATTCTTAAATGTTACCTTTTTTATATTTACTCTTTGTCATAGAGCTCTCTCAAAACTATGAAACTGATTTAAACGTCAATCTAAAGTCTGGTGTTTGATCCAATACAGAGATAAAATAGATCAAACCCGTTTGTTTCCATAGAGATCTACAGTATGTCTAAAGGTTGTAGGTCCTGGGAGCAGATCTGTGTCCCTGCTGTGCCTCTTACTACCTCAGATATTCAGGCAAGAATCGCTGCATTCAGCCCTGCCACATCTCCATGGTTACTGTGGGTCAGGAAGAAAAACAACTTCTCCTCCCCATGAAAGTGTCTCTGTGTACACAAGCGGAAATGGGGACAAGAAGAAACCAGTTACTCTTTCAGCTTTGCACCTCTTGTTTCCATAAACCCAGAGAAAACCTGCCTGCAAAGACACAGTTTGAGTTTTTGGGGATGTCAGTGTGCCCAGACTGACTGAAATAAAGCTTTAGGTAATTGTTGGTGTAGGCGTTTAATTTGTAGCTACCGTTAAGTCTTATTTGCTGAACACCTGGGTGGGTATAAGGCCATACGAACAGTTCTGGTTACATTTCAACTACAATTGTAAGTATTTGTTACTTGAATGAACACCAACCTTTTTCCCTGTGATTTATTTCACGTGTTGCAGAAATTTTCTTTTAAACTTTTCAGAGCTGCTTTTTCTTTTCTTTTCTTTCTTTTTTTTTTTTTTTGCAGCTTTTCTCTCCATACTTATCCCTGCTTATGTTTATGTTCTTTTAAAATTATAAAATGCATACCTTGACTCAGACTCTGTGCAGAAATGTGCTTTCTAACATTCTGTATTTCGTCTTACACAGAACCCAGGGAATATTCAGAGATCAACCATTTCGGAGTGGAGAGTTTGCCAGACCCCTCCATGAACTGCCACAGGACACAAAGTTCCTCATACTCTGCCTCTATTGTTGGGAGCCTTCAGCAGACAGACAGGTAGAGCTCTGACTTACACAAAAACTCCAAGCACCTTTTTTTTTTTTTTTTTTTTTTGGGGGGGGGGGGTTTGGGATTTTTTTTAGATCCTGTGTTAACACCAGCAGTAATAAAATGCTCCCTTGATCTGTTTTTCCCCAGTTCAAACAAGAACCAGCACTGGCCAGAGCATCCTGTCCTGAGCCACCACTCTTCTTTGAGTAGCTACCCCTCTGCAAGACAACCTCTGCCGCACTCCGTGTCACTGGACTATGGCCACCACTCTCCTCCCCTTAACCACCCCCACATCCACCCTGCCCCGAATGCTCACAGCTCTCCTCGAAGCAACCAGCGAAGCCGTATGGCTAACTATGCTCTCAACCATAGTCCTGCTCAAAGCTGTGAGGAACAGGATGACTCATGTCTCGGCTATGGCACAGACTGTCCAAACCTGGACAGGGATCTTTTACCCTCAATGGATGGGCAGAATCAGTTAACACAAATGCAGCCTCCACTTCTGCCTGAAAAGAAGAGGACGTCAGATGGGGAGCATTCGCTGGGAACAGCCTCTCCAGCCCTCAGTGGATTCTCAAGTCCCCACAGTGGTAGCTCCCTGAGTATTCCTTTCCCTAACATCTTGCCTGACTTGTCAGCTCAGACGCCAGGCACAGCCTCACCTCTGCCAGGTAAGCTAGGGTCTGCTAAAGAAACTGAAAGCCTTGTGGGTGTCATACGGCTCGTTGAGTGATTTTTGTTGTTTTCTTTGTCTGTGTATTTTCCAGATGTGCTAGCCAACAAGCAGGTTACTGTAAAATTTGTGCAGGATACATCAAAATTCTGGTACAAGCCAGACATCTCAAGGGATCAAGGTAGGTGCCAAATGTAAACACTTTTTTTGTTAAGAAAATTCTCGAGCTACTTCAATCATTGTTTCTCTCTCTTCAGCTATTTCAGTCTTGAAAGACAAGGAGCCAGGCTGCTTTATTGTGCGGGACAGCCACTCCTTCAGGGGGGCCTACGGTCTGGCTATGAAGGTGGCTACACCCCCTCCCTCAGTTCTTCAGCAGAACAAAAAAGGTATGGTACATGTGGGTGATTAAAAGACGGCATGAGCACTTCAACATTTGGGACAGACATATTTGCTGGCTTTTTATGTCTGTGTGTTAAATATTGAGTTAAAATCTGTGTGAATAACTTTGCGTAAGACACTGGAAGTGGGTGGAAGCGATTCTAATACAGAAATCCCAACAAGCAAAGCAATCCAACACTTAATTTTATTAAATACAGTTCTGTTCAGTTCAGTTTTATTTATATAGCGCCAAATAACAACAACAGTCACTTTAAGGTAAACACTTGGCAACAGTGGAAAGGAAAAACTCCCTTTAAACAAGGAGAAACCTCTGGCAGAAACAGGCTCAGGGAGGGGCGGCCATCTGCTGCGACCAGTTGACCGGTCCTTCTGCTTTGAATAATCGTGCAAAGGTAACCTAAAGCTCCCTTGGAATGTGCAATATACTTTAAGTGGATCATTCGGGTCAGTTTGTATTTGTATTGTACATAACACATACACAACATACATAAATATCTCTGGGAAATAAACATACATCACAGTATTACAGAATTTCATTGATAGTTAAGATATCAGAGATTGGTCCAGTGGTCTGGACAATCCTGGGAATGGTGCATAGCATAAGCACAGACAAAGCCATCTTCAGTTACAGCCCACTGTGCGCACCATCACAGTGGAACCTAAGAGTCCCTCTCTCCCTCTGCTTGTGAGTGAACTCCTGTCTTTCTGTTTATCTCTCCTGGGCATCATCATCACGATGCCAAAGGGACCCCTATTGCCTGATACTCTTAGATGTACAGCTAACGTTTCACTCATTAACAAAAGATGTGCTGGGTCTGTAAGCCTGCTATAATCCCAGTGTCTTCTTGTGCAAGTGCACTTTCCCACATACTGTAACTGTCTTTCTGAGAAGTCTGTCAGTCCCACAACTGAAGTCAAAACACGATTTTTGTTTGGTCATCAACTTCCTGGTTTGTTGGTTTAGCATATTTAGAAAATAGGCTAAAGTTTTTTTTTTTTTTTTCTTTGTTTGTTTCTTTGTTTTTTTGGTAACAAACACGCAGTCTCTAGAGGACTCTGGTCAAACATTCTCTGGATTGTTTCCACATGTAAGGAAGTACTGACCGAGTTACAATACAGACCCAATTTTCTTATTTGGAAAAGGAAAGGAAAGAACACTAAACCCCACACAGTGTGTCAGGAAAAAGTCTGCTTATTCTGAGGGGCACAAAGGATGCCCTTATGCCCTGTCTGCAGTCCTTTCATGTTCCCTTCTCCCTGATTCACACCTGCCCTTTTGTTTGATTTCACCCTTCTTCAATCCAACAGCACCTGTGGTGACATCATGACACAAACCATCTCCAGACTTTGAGCTTTGGGTATTGTGACTGCTTATAAGTGTGAAACCCAACCCACTTTGTGGAGCAGGCTTTTCTCCAAGCTTTTGTATCAAGACATTCCTCACATACGCTCATCCAGCCCCTTCAGAAGAGCTTCTGTTGAATCATAATCCACCTAATCTCTCTAGAGAATGAATGTAGCAATTTAATGTGTTTGACGCAACACTTAAAGGCTGGGAAATTATGTGTGGTTCTGAGATAACTGCTATGAGATGTTATGCAAGTCAGAGTAAGTGTAGAGCAGAGGTTAATTTGTTGGTTTGCATGCCACATAGAGCCCAATTTTATGTGAAGTGGGTCGGAAAAACCTTTTACTATAACTCATATGTTTATGTTCTTTTTTTCTTTTTGTGTAAAGACGTTTCTGGAAAATGTTTGCATTTCTTGAACTGTCCCTTTACAAAATTGATGATGAACAAGTTTAAATTTTAAAAAGCGCAGTTTTAACAATATGTTTCATTAGCTATGAGTTCCTAATGAAAGATCACAACAGATTGGGCAGGCTCCAGGGGCGCCAAGTCTTACACCCCCAATTCTAGATTTGCAAATACAAGAAAGTTTGCTGAAAAGAAAGTATACTATTCTAGCTAGTTACGTATTTCTTCTTTCTTTTTCTAACAGGAGGAGATTTGGCCAATGAATTAGTGCGCCACTTTCTGATTGAGTGCACACAGAAAGGAGTGCGGCTGAAGGGTTGCCCCAATGAGCCATATTTTGGTAAGACTTTTACATGGTTAGCAAACATCAGTGACACCATCTGGATGTTTGGCTACACTACAGAAATTGCATTGTACCACCACCAGTAGAGGGCAGGAGAATTTCATGAACGCCAAATAATGATAGATCATAGACTGTGATAGACTGGAATTTACCCATACAGTGTTTCATGGTTTATGTCTGATTTCTGTGGCATTTTTTTGTGCCCCGCTTTCTTCAAATATAGCAACTATTGAAGATATATAATCAAATTAAGTGTTCCACTGATGAGAATTTTATTTTATCGTGGTGATAGAAGTTTTTCTCTGTTGTTTTTTCTCCTTCTTTTTCTTTTTTTCTGACAGTTTGTAATTTTTCATGAAATCTTGCATTTTTTAAAATAAACATGTCATTAACCAAAACAGATTTATAACTAGAATTCTAATTTAATATGGTATTGTTTTACAGGAAGCTTAACCGCATTGGTCTACCAACATTCAATCACTCCTCTGGCCCTGCCCTGTAAACTTATCATACCTGACAAAGGTAGTATTCAAGTTGTGGCTACCAACATCTGCCTCTCTATGTTTAACTGTCTGCCAGCTTAGTGTTTTCATCTGCTGATGTAACTGTTGAGGGTTTTTTTTTGCTGGATAATCTCATTGTTTTCTTGTTCGCAGATCCTCTTGAAGATGTCATTGAGAACACCTCGCAATCGGTAACAAACTCTGCCGCTGAGCTGCTAAAACAGGGAGCAGGTAATCAGGTTTCTTATATCAGTTGCTATGAAAAGACACTGTCACAAACAGGTGGCCTGACTTAATACGAACGCTGACGCAATCTCTGTGTGCTGTTCTGTTGTAGAAATGAGCCATTTTCCTTGTCCTGTTATTATGCCGTGTGTCACCGAATGCACTCGCTTTGCAAATCCAAGTGTAATTTTGAATTTGTCTGCTGCTGCAGCCTGTAATGTGTGGTTCCTGGGCTCTGTGGAAATGGAGTCACTAACGGGTGTCCAGGCAGTGCAGAAGGCCACCACTATGGTCCTGAACTCTAACGCTACACCAACCTCCACTGTGGTCCACTTCAAAGTTTCTTCTCAGGGAATCACCCTCACTGACAACCAGAGAAAGTGAGTAAACATAGTTTTTGCATTCTTCATATATGCATAGCTTAGCAATTTCTTACCATAATTTTGCTTCTTTTAGGCTCTTTTTCAGGAGGCATTACAATGTCAATACAGTAATATACTGTGCTCTGGACCCTCAAGATAGAAAGTAAGTATTGTTGATTTAATGTCAAAACACATGCCCACTTGCTATTTGTGTTTCACTAGTTATTATAGAGAAGTATGTCAGTTGCATGTTGTGAATGGGTGATGGATATTTATTTAATATGGTTTTCATTTTTTTGACCACTTGAATCCCTTTTACACTACAAGTCGCACTGACTGGCCTTTATTCTCTAAAGTATCTAGGAAAATCCAAAATATGGCAAAAGATTAATTTAAATAACTTCATGCAAATCTAATTGACACTTTTGAATGTAAGTATTTAGGTGGATTCAGTGTAGCAAAAATGACACTATTATCCCTTTTTTACTTCCAATAGGTGGAAAAAAGATGGCTGCCCATCAGCAAGGTAAGTAGATAATTATATTTTTGCACAGAGACAATGAAAGCAGTTCTTTTTAAAGGTGCACTGCCTGTTTGAGGCAGATGACAGTAATGCTACTAACTACACTGCTCCTCCTCTGCAGAATCTTCGGCTTTGTGGCGAGGAAAACTGGCACTTCGACGGGCAACGTATGCCACCTGTTTGCTGAGCATGACCCCGAGCAGCCAGCAAGCGCTATTGTCAACTTTGTGTCAAAGGTGATGATTGGTTCACATAAGAGTAAGTAGAGGACAAAGCAGATCACTTGGACAGACGTTAGCAACGTCTAGAACAACGAATGAAAGACTGAGAGGCTGAAGAACGGACTAAATATAATGACTCGAGATGGTGATGATCTGAATTTGAACTGAAAAATGTGCAAATGTAAAGTGATCACTGTACGAGGACATTCAGTGACATCTTTAATCGAAAAGTATAAATAACTTTTTTAAAATTTTGTTCCTTTCAGTGCATGAACTGTAAATTAGCTACATAACAAATAACAAAATCATTATCATTTTCACATTGTTTACAACTGTAATGTCTTACACAGTAATACAATCATTATTAACATATTTTAAGTTCCTCATACTAAAGCTGCTTTTCTTACTCATTCATAGCATTTTATGGACCAACCAAGAAAACCCTACATTGTTGTATGTTTCTCTCATATTTAACCAAAAAAGAAAGGATAAAAAAAAAACTTCATGCAAGCATTCATTAAGATTTCTTTAGTTGTATCTGATGTAGAAACACCTCATCTAACCAAGCAGGCAGGATTTCTCTGTGGATTTAAAAACATGCAAAAGCAGTGTTGCAAATGTGTATGATTTGGACTTTGTGCCTAACTTCATCACATGCATGATTATTTTATCTATGCAATGTAAATGTTGTTTTTGCTTTTTTTTTTTTTAACGTGTAGTTTTGTAAAATGTTGCTGCATGTAAGTGGCTTTTTTGAAGGTGTTAAATCAATTTTATCATAAGATGTATTGGAGTATGACCACTTTTAAAGCTGTCAACATTTTAATGAAAGTGTGAGCGTGCATTTGCGAGTGTTTGAATGAGAGAAATTGTAGAAAGATATTTTAATGAAACCATAATATTCTTTTATTATATATATTCTGCTTTGACAGTAACTGATTAAAAACACATCAGTACTTTTGTAGATGGTACAAAAGACTAAGAACGTAGGGTTACCTTGTAACCTCGGTTCTCTGAGTAAAGAGTCGATTGTGCCAATTCTAGGGCTGCTTGGAGATCAAATTATCAGTGATTTCACGCCAGCACAGGTGCTCTATAAGTGAGCCAGAGTGTCTGTCCACACGCCCTGAATAGCATTGGGATTATCCTTGTACATATCAAATATGTAACAAATTGAAGATTGAGATCAACACTGCAATCTTTCAGTGTCAAAAATAAAGCAGTATACACATACCCCCACCCCCTTTTTTTATATTTATACTAAATGTGTAAAAGCACACATCCACACACAGGCTGCTATGTTACAAGAACAAATGCTGTTATTAAAAAGAAAACAAAGAAGAAAGAAAGAGGTCAGTGTTGGAATTTGCACAAATAGGTTTAGTGTTTAGCACACTCAGCTAGTCATCTGTCAGTGATACACATTTGCTCCTGGAAAAATCTGTTTGTACTCCAGCTGATTGTTCACATTGTATAAACGACGATGACCATAGAAATGGATTTGTGTTGGGTGACCATTTTATCCAGAGAGGGATCGACAACCACACTAACAGCTGGTGTTATTCTTGCATCAAGTGCACGCTTATTATCACTTTCCATGACCTATTATGTGTACCTCATCCTTATCTCATTTAATACTGTGCCTCGGTGTAAAACATGCTACATGTGAACGATTTATTTGTATATGGGCATTTCCATGTTTTTGTTGACTTGTAAATACTAAACATAATGAAACATTTATTTAATCTTGATCCACTAGATTCAGCAACTAGTGGGAGTATTAGCCTTGTACCCAGAGCTGTAAATATCAGGCTGTTTGTTGGTTTTTGCATGAACTGTAGCGGTGGTAGATTGGGTAAATGAATCCCTTTTATTAGAAAACGGTTAGCTCTGTCTTGTGTCCTTGTATCTCTGTGTTAAGCTATGCTGTGCAGCTTTATGTAAGTATAGAGACACCAGGATGGTAATATCTACCAGCAAAGGAGCAAATAAATGAAATTTGAATACACCGCTGTTGGTTGGCTTCAATCCGGTAAACAAATACATAAATAAATAGTTTAGGATTATTAGGAGTAACTTTGTAAATTTAATGGTATTGGTATTGTGACATTTGAAATATATTGAATACATTTGAATATTATGAGTTTGTCATAACTGCAGGGAGGCTGCAGATGAATGCTGCTAAACCAAAGACTCTAAGCACAATTCCAGCTTTTCAGGTCTTAGCAACATCAGCTGAACTGATAGCTAAGGCATTTTAGCTTTAGGCTTCTATATAAACATGTCACTGTATTTGGTATCTGGCTATTTTCTCAGAAAATAAATGATAAGTAAAAAAAAAAAGGCTGTGGACCCAGTAAATTTATTTTATCAGTGGAAATAAATGGTATACAATCAGAGATCGGTGTATTAGGTACACTGTGTTGGATCCCCTTAAATTTCAGAGCTGTTTTAATTCTTATTAACATGTCCATGCTGACATGATAGTGTCACACATGTACTATGTGCCGCTACATTATGCATTTGATAATGTACATTGTTAAATGCACATCCGTGATTTAAATCTCCTGTTTCAGCACATTCCAAACTTGCTCTATTTGATTGAGGTGTGACTGTAAGCCAATACATCAGTTTGAGATGAGATGAGCTTAGTGACATAGTGTGTTATCCTGCTGAAAGCAGCCATCAGATGATGGGTACAGTGAAGTTATAAAGAGACGTGGACATGGTCAGCAACAATATACATGTTGTCATATTCTGGGGTGGCAGACTGTGTGGCGATGGTTGACGAGTGAACCCAAAAGCAGACGTGTGGAAACCAAAGCTTAACTTAAACCAAGAGTGAGCTGTTTATTTAGGCTAAGTGATACAAAAGACAAGACAGGAGGACACTAAAGCAAAACTAACCGGAATACACTGGGAAAACTAAATACTGGAACATGGAACATGAATATCTGAACAGTGACGAGGGAAGAGGAAACACACGGGGAACACAGCTGGGGCAAATAAACATAATGAAAGAGGAGGAAGCAAAACTAAACACACAGGACGTGATACTATCAAAATAAAATGGGGAAACACGTAGACTAAGACACACAGACTTGACACTGGAACACCGAAGCAGAAACGAGAGACAAAAATACTGACATGACTGGATACGGAGAACAAGGAGTGAGAGACATGGAGTGACGAGAGGGAGCAAGGGACACGGAAGGAAATGGAGAGGGACATGATGGGCTTGGGGAGAACATACACCAACGCACAACTCAGACAGGGGAGACATGGAATGAGACACAAGGAGGGGAACAAGTAAACAGAAAAGGGAGACAAGACGTGAGGACAAACGACATCTAAAAGAAATGCTCAGTGGATACTAAGAAGCCCAAAGTGTGCCAAGGAAACAACCCCTACACCATTACACCACCAGCGCCTGAACCATTGATATAGTTGATTCATGTTTTCATGTAGCTTACATTGAATTCTAGTCCCATCATCTGAATGTTAAAGCAGAAATCGAGACTCAGACCAGGCTCCATTTTTCCAATCTTCTGTTGTGAGCCTGTTCAAATTGTAGCCTTTTCTGTTTTTAGCTGAAAGAAGTGGCACCCGGTATGGCCCTATGCTGCTGTAGTTCATCTGCTTAGAGTTGGTGTGCTCTTTCTCTGTGTCCTTCACTTTGCTAAGGCCTAATTACAGCTTTGGACTGCCTCAGGGGCCAGATCAACAAGATATTTTGGCCTAGAGGGCGACCGTGGCGCTGTGGAAGCGCATCTGTAACCGGAAGGTCGCCGGTTCGATCCTCGGGCTCTCTGTCCTGGTCGTTGTGTCCTTGGGCAAGACACTTTACCCTACCGCCTACTGGTGTAGGCCAGAGGGGCCGATGGCGCGATGTGGCAGCCTCGCTTCTGTCAGTCTGCCCCAGGGCAGCTGTGGCTACAACTGTAGCTTGCCTCCACCAGTGTGTGAATGTGAGATTGAATGAATGAATAATGGAATTGTAAAGTGCTTTGGGTGCCTTGAAAAGCGCTATATAAATCCAATCCATTATTATTAGAGAACTGCTGCTAACTAGATATGTTGTGTTATTTGGACCGTTTTCTGTGATGGTCCACCAGCGATGATTGTTCAAGAAATTTCTAGTATATTGGTTGTTTCTGAAGCAATCAGCCTGTCTGGCACCAACAATTGTGCCACGTTCAAAGTCACTTAAATCACCTTTTTGCCATTTTCAGATGCTCATTTTGAATTTCAGCAGGTTGTCTTCCCCGAGTCTACATGACTACATTGGACAGTTGAACCTATTAAAGTGGACACACTGTGTATGATTCATGTCAATCTGTGGCCAGCAGAGGACACTAGCGACACAAAACCGTTGTGACTGTGAAAGTCCCAAGTCAACATCACCTTTGTTGTTTTAGAGCAAAACAGGCTAGCAATTATTACACACTGAAGTGTAACACCACATCTTTTGATGCGTCTGACACACAAATGTCTGTATCATCATCATCATCATCATCATCATCATCAACTTTATTCATAAAGCACTTTAAAACAACCACAGCTGACACAAAGTGCTGTACATTGGAACTGTAAAATAAAATTACACGAGATATAAATAAAAACCAAATAAAAGAAGAGTGAAATCATTAATTAAATAACTACTTCAATTAAAAGAGAAACTAAGTCTCACTGAGGTTAAAAGCCAAGGAATAAAAGTGGGTTTTAAGACGTGATTTAAAAGTGGACAGTGAAGGGGCCTCTCTAATGTGCATGGGCAAATTATTCCATCACTGTAGAGTGTGAATGCACCTTTCTTACCTGTTGCGTGTGCACATATCCAATGCACATGTCCACCCTCATTTACAAAGTGCACTAAAAGAGTTTCTTCCCTCCAGGCAAGCCTGGGCAGGTTGCTCTTAAGTTGCAGAGAGGGAATACATTTGCAGAGATAAGAAGGAGGAAAGGTGTGCAGTGAAGGACCCCTCCACCCACATTACTGTGTGTCTGCAGGTGGTGAAAGTGAAGAATTCCCGGGGAGGGCAGGAAGGAAGTGAAGGCCCAGTTGTGGTGACTGCATAGAGCCCATCTTCCTCTGTTATTTAGTGTGGAGTGGTCTTGAAATAAAAGGAGCAGGGGAAAATCCAGAGAAGCAACCAACATTATCAGATTACAAAGGAAACTGTCAGGAGAAACACCATTTCACATGGGAAAAATAAGTGTGTGTTAGCATGTAAGATATGTAGGTCTAATGCAGCAATAATTTCCCATTAAGATTAATTAATACATCTTTACATTTACTATTCCCAGGCTATGTTTTATTATATAAGAATGGCTAAAACCAGACACTACATGTGGGTGTCTTTGTCAACTTTCTGAAGCTATAAGAACTAGTTGACCTTATGGGGAAAAAAACAACTATAAGAAACAATGATGAAGATTAAGTCACATAGATTATCCTTCTCCCAGCAAATACCAGCTTTGCAATAACCCCTTACAGATTTACACCAGCCTCTCCAAATTTCATTTTGCAGATAATTTGGAGGCCTTGTTTACCCGGCTGACAGAACTAGTTCTCATTCCTCGATCACCCCAGTTCTGCAGCTTTTTTACAGCCACTTAATTGGCGGGGCAGGGCCCATCTCTTTCCTCTGAACCAGAACAAAGGTTTGTGGACAGAAATAGAAACTGGATTCTGGGATGGCTGCACAATTTGAGGCCCATGCTTGGCTTTCAGCAGAGGCCAAAACCTGGAAAGGCACCGTGAGAAAACTGTAGGCTTTCATAACGCTTGTTAAATTGAGGTAAGTCCAGGTCACATTGAGATGACAAACAAGTAGATCACTTCATCATAACTCGTAATGTTACTAACGGAATATTGGTAGTAGGTTGAGTCTGTGGCATCACAGCACTCATACATGCGTGGTGAAACTGGGCATACTCCAAGGTCATTGATTGAGACTGTGGAGGGGTTTCAGTTAGGTCATGGTCTCCGAACAAGAAACAAAAAACTGTGGGATAAAGAGCTTCCTTCGTGGTGTAAATTTGCATTTACAACAGGGTTTTAGAATTTGTGCTAATTGGATGATTGTGGTTTCCAACATAGACTCATCTACCCAAACTACCTCAAAACCAAAAGCACATTTGTTTGTAGATTAATGCATGATTTCTACTACTTTGCAATTTTAATTTTAATGACACATGTCCAAGTCACATTTGAATATCTGTTTCTTGTCATATAACAGTGGTGAGAAAAAAGAGAGAGGTATTTTACACATGTGGGAAAATGTCCCTAAGATGTATGAATACATGTTCAACTATCCTCATAAGTCTAGGTGAGACAGAGACATAGGAAGTGTAACTGTCTTTGGGGGGACTTGGGGTCAAATTGAGTGGTGCCACTCACAGCCCACTTCCGACTACTCTGTAATCCGTCAGGGTGAGTGCTGAGAGTTCCTCTCTCTTTCTCTGTGTCCTTCACTTTGCTTAGGCCTAATTACAGCTTTGGACTGCCTCAGGGGCCAAGCCTCCAGAAACAGGGACCACGATAGACCACTCCAACAAAAAAAAAGAAAGAAAATGATTAACTGGCCTTGGAATTAGATGAAAGCTGGCCTCTAGTTTGTTCGCCATTCGACCAACATCCAATAATCACATAATAGCTGAAGCTATGTATGGGTCCAGGTCAGAGCAGAATCAAAGAGAAACAATTATCATATTAATCACTATAGAGACTCCAATTTATCTGTGATCTTAGTCGGCTCAAAAAGCTCTCAGACAGAAGCAATTACATGACAGACAGTCATGAGACCATTCAGGGAAAAGAATAACTTTAAATGTACCAGACTTGTCATGTGATCTGCAACCACCTCATTCCTCTCCTACTCCAGCACACCTCCACACTGTGTGTATTCCACATACTCTCTCCACAAGCACAGACGCACTGGACCCTGACAAGCAAAAATAGGGAAAGGGTTGTTTTGTGTTTGAGAGTGAGGGACACACACAC